CTTGAAAGGTGCTGTTAGAGTGCAGCAATATTCCAGCCTAGATAGAACAAGTGACCTGAAGAGTGTCATCATGGGCTTGGCCTCCCTAGTTTTGAAGGTTCTCATTATCCATCCTGTCATTTTTCTAGCAGATGCGATTGATACAATGTTATGGTCCTTGAAGGTGAGATCCTCCGACATAATCGCTCCCAGGTCTTTGACGTTGGTGTTTCGCTCTATTTCGTGGCCAGAATTTGTTTTGTACTCTGATGAAGATTTAATTTCCTCATGTTTACCATATCTGAGTATTTGAAATTTCTCATCGTTGAACTTCATATTGTTTTCTGCAGCCACTGAAAGATTTGGTTGATGTCCGCCTGGAGCCTTGCAGTGTCTGCAATGGAAGACACTGTCATGCAGATTCGGGTGTCATCTGCAAAGGAAGACACGGTGCTGTGGTTGACATCCTTGTCTATGTCGGATATGAGGATGAGGAACAAGATGGGAGCTAGTACTGTGCCTTGTGGAACAGAGCTTTTCACCGTAGCTGCCTCGGACTTTACTCTGTTGACGACTACTACTCTCTGTGTTCTGTTAGTGAGGAAATTATAGATCCATCGACCGACTTTTCTGTTATTCCTTTAGCGCGCATTTTGTGCACTATTACGCCATGGTCACACTTGTCGAAGGCTTTTGCAAAGTCTGTATATATTACATCTGCATTCTTTTTGTCTTCTAGTGCATTTAGGACCTTGTCGTAGTGATCCAGTAGTTGAGACAGACAGGAGCGACCTGTTCTAAACCCATGTTGCCCTGGGTTGTGTAACTGATGGGTTTCTAGATGGGTGGTGATCTTGCTTCTTAGGACCCTTTCAAAGATTTTTATGATATGGGATGTTAGTGCTATTGGTCTGTAGTTCTTTGCTGTTGCTTTACTGCCCCCTTTGTGGAGTGGGGCTATGTCTGTTGTTTTAGTAACTGAGGGACGACCCCCGTGTCCATGCTCCCTCTGCATAGGATGGAAAAGGCTCGTGATAGGGGCTTCTTGCAGTTCTTGATGAACACAGAGTTCCATGAGTCTGGCCCTGGGGCAGAGTGCATGGGCATGTCATTTATCGCCTGTTCGAAGTCATTTGGCGTCAGGATAACATCGGATAGGCTTGTGTTAATCAAATTTTGTGGCTCTCTCATAAAAAATTAATTTTGATCTTCGACTCTCAGTCTGGTTAGCGGCTTGCTAAAAACTGAGTCATATTGGGACTTGAGTAAGCTCACTCATTTCCTTGCTGTCATCTGTGTAGGACCCATCTTGTTTAAGTAGGGGCCCAATACTGGACGTTGTTCTTGACTAGGTTTTGGTTCTCGACCTTTACTGCTAAAACTTCCACTACATCATTTGAGGCATTAAGCAGTTCTGTGCAAACAAGTGACTCTGCAATGTACAGGCCAACCCCCCCCTTTTGCCTGTTCACTCTGTCACATCTGTATAGGTTGTAACCTGGGATCCATATTTCGTTGTCCAAGTGATCCTTTATGTGGGTCTCAGTGAAAGCCGCGAACATTGCCTTTGCCTCTGCAAGCAGTCCACGGATGAAAGGTATTTTGTTGTTTGTTGCTGGCTTTAGACCCTGTATATTTGCAAAGAAGAATGTTATTGGACTGGTGGTATTGTTGGTACTGGCCTTAACTAGACTTAACCCCATTCATCACCAAGGATTACGTTTATGCCTTGGTGCTTTTCGCTCTTCCCCTGTCGAGAGCCTCTATGCAGAAGCGAATGTTCCATCCTTATCCGATCGCCGTGATGCCCATTGCCTGCGCTACTATGTACGCTCTCATGATCTCCGCAATCCTTCCATTTATAGAATGGTCACTGATATTAGTAGACATTCTTTATTTGTTCGCCTCCCCTGTTTATTCCGTCCCTTCTCTCTTCGCCTTCATTCGCTCTTGTCTTCTCTTCAACTACCACCTTTCTATGTACGTGTAGCATCTCACTTTTCCCTACCTCCCTGGGAAGTTCCAGCTGTTCGAGTCTGTTCTTTCTCCCTCCCTTGTTCAAAAGCCCAACTGTCTACGGTCGCTTCCCGCTCTCTTTTTCTTGACCACTTTCACTCTCATTCTCATGCCATTGCTGTGTACACAGATGGCTCTAAGTCTTCTGACGGCGTAGGATTCGCAGCAGTGTTTCCGGACAGCGTCGTACAAGGGCATTTACTATCGTCGGCTAGTATTTTTACTGCTGAATTATATGCCATCCTTACAGCAGTTATCCGTATTGCATCTATGCCTGTGTCATCATTTGTGGTTGTCTCAGACTCCCTTAGTGCTTTACAGGCTATACAAAAATTCGATACACCTCACCCCTTAGTCCTCCGTATCCAACTTTGGCTATGCTGCATCTTTACCAAGCATAAAGATATTGTTTTTTGTTGGGTCCCTGGTCATGTTGACGTACAGGGCAATGAACAGGCAGACACTGCTGCGCGGTCAGCAGTATATGACCTACCAGTTTCTTATAGAGGTATTCCATTTACGGATTATTTTGCTGCAATATCTTCCCACCTTCACACCCGTTGGCAACAACGTTGGTCTACTATGCTTGGCAACAAACTTCAATCTATTAAACCGAGTATAGGTTACTGGCCGTCTTCTTATCACCAGTGTCGAGGTTGGGAGACTACTCTCTCCCGTCTTCGCATTGGCCATACTCGTCTTACTCACGGATATCTCATGGAGAGGCGTCTTGCTCCTCTCTGTGAGAATTGCCAAGCTCCATTATCAGTCAGCCACATTCTGTTGGACTGCCCACTTTATCAACAAGCACGCAGAATTTACCTCTGTCGTCGTCTTCGCTCCGCTGCTCTCTCTTTACCTTCCCTTCTCGCTGATGGACCCACCTTTCATCCGGACTCTCTCATTGACTTTTTGACAACAACTGACTTACTTCACAAATTCTGATACCTTCAGCCCTTTCTACTTCAATCTCTTGCTACCCTCTACCCCCGTACTATCCCCTGCCCCGCTGTTTTCTGTAACCTGTTGATCATCCCTCCTCCCTTCTGCCATCCAATACCCTCGCTTCCTTCCCTTCCTGCAGCGCTGTATAGCCCTTGTGGCTTAGCGCTTCTTTTTGATCATAATAATAATAATATGAGGCCTAGTCGATTACAAATTGCTTGAACTTCATTAAGAATGGTATTCATCTTCTTATGCCCTGTTGTACGGATCATGATATCATCAGCATAGCTTATAGCTATATGTTTAGGTGAGGCAGGTAGAGCATTTAGGAGAGCATTAATCAGAATATTAAATAGCATGGGACTAAGAACTCCTCCCTGCGGTGTACCTAAAGACATTTCTTTAGAATCACTTCTGAAGCCTTGGTAAAGGACAGGTATCCTATTATCCAGCAGAGTAAGCTAGGTGTGTTCAGTGAGAAAGGTGGAAATACAGTTCTGCACACTTTTACCTTTCATGAACCCATAGAGGTAGGGGGAAAGTTGATGTCTGATTCTGTAGTACAGTCTGTTAAGCATCATTCTTTCAAAAGTTTTACAAAGACAACTAGTTAAGGAGATGGGCCTAAATGTATCAGGCTGTTGGGGCTTAGGGATAGGCACAATGAGACTATTGGTCCAGGAAGTAGGAAGAACGCCCTCAATGTAACTGAGATTATACAGTGCCAACAAAGGGTTATCAGGCACGTGCCTAAGAGTTCTGAGAATATCATAGGTTATACCATCCTCTCCAGGAGCAGTTGATCGACCTTTGGTTAATGCATTATCTAATTCATACTCGGTAAATAGACAATCACTCTCATCAATATTTTGGCTCATAAAATTAATCAGTTTCGACATTTCTTCAGAAGTACTCTCAAATTTTTTCTATGAGATGGAAGGCTTTCATGCCTGGATGTTTTGGACCAGTCATTTATGAGGTCATTCTCTTTTTCAAGAGGAAAGGGATGAGCAACATTGCCAGTCTTTTTCCTGGTTATTTTATTTATACCTTTCCAAGCCAAACTCAAAGGGGTGGACCTATTCAATCCACTAACAAACTGTTCCCATTCCTGTTGCCTAAGTTCTTCCTTTCTATTCCTTGCATTTGTTAGTGCAGCTTGGAACGTTCTGAGCAGGTCTGGGGTTCTACATTCACGGTATGCTTTACCAATCCTCCTAGCTGCATGTGTTAGATTGCGCAGCTGTGGATCATTATAGTATTTACATTGGTTTTTATTGTTATTTATAGTGGAGGGTCTTTGTTTCCTATTCCTGCCCACTTGATCTGTGAGAACACTCTCAATAGTGGTAATTAAATCATCATTAAATTTTTGTGTGCCAATGGGCTCGTAATTCGATAATTTATATAACTACACATATGCTGCTATGTATGATAATCAATGTAACTACACATATGCTGCTATGTATGATAATCTATATAACTACACATATGCTGCTATGTATGATAATCAATGTAACTACACATATGCTGCTATGTATGATAATCTATGTAACTACACATATACTGCTATGTATGATAATCAATGTAACTACACATATGCTGCTATGTATGATAATCTATATAACTACACATATGCTGCTATGTATGATAATCAACGTAACTACACATGTGCTGCTATGTATGATTATATAACTACACATATACTGCTATGTATGATAATCAATGTAACTACACATGTGCTGCTACGTATGATAATCAATGTAACTACACATATGCTGCTATGTATGATAATCTATGTAACTACACATATGCTGCTATGTATGATAATCAATGTAACTACACATATGCTGCTATGTATGATAATCTATGTAACTACACATATGCTGCTATGTGTGATAATCTATATAACTACACATATACTGCTATGTATGATAATCTATATAACTACACATATGCTGCTATGTATGATAATATATGTAACTACACATATGTATTTGTGTTAATCTGAATAAGCTTAATATTTATATTTATAGGTGAGGTCCCTGGCAGCTGCCTGACGCTGGTAAACACTGACACACTACCAGCTGCTGCTAGGACGCTGCTGCTGCTAGGACGCTGGTGCTAGGACGCTGCTGCTGCTAGGACACTGGTGCTAGGACACTGGTGCTAAGACGCTGCTGCTGCTAGGACACTGCTGCTGCTAGGACATTGGTGATGCTAGGACACTGGTGCTAGGACGCTGCTGCTAGGACGCTGCTGCTAGGACGCTGCTGCTAGGACACTGGTGCTAGGACACTGGTGCTAGGACACTGGTGCTAGGACACTGCTGCTAGGACACTACTACCAACAGTCTTAACTTCACACTGTGACACTTCCAGGTGAGGTTTTAATACAAACTTTTCTTATTATTGTTGAACAACTCAGAGTGACAGTGACGCCTTCATGTTGAATTATGTTGGTGTTATTATCCCGGGGTTATCATCCCGGGATAACCTGGGGGACTGTTAACATCCCAGGATAACCTGGGGGACTGTTATCATCCCAGGATAACCTGGGGGACTGTTAACATCCCAGGATAACCTGGGGGACTGTTATCATCCCAGGATAACCTGAGGGACTGTTATCATCCCAGGATAACCTGGGGGACTGCTATCATCCCGGGATAACCTGGGGGACTGTTAACATCCCAGGATAACCTGGGGGACTGTTATCATCCCAGGATAACCTGAGGGACTGTTATCATCCCTGGATAACCTGAGGGACTGCTATCATCCCGGGATAACCTGGGGGACTGTTATCATCCCAGGATAACCTGAGGGACTGTTATCATCCCTGGATAACCTGGGGGACTGTTATCATCCCAGGATAACCTGGGGGACTGTTATTATCCCAGGATAACCTGGGGGACTGTTATCATGCCAGGATAACCTGGGGGACTGTTATCATCCCGGGAGAACCTGGGGGACTGTTAACATCCCAGGATAACCTGGGGGACTGTTATCATGCCAGGATAACCTGGGGGACTGTTATCATCCCTGGATAACCTGGGGGACTGTTATCATCCCTGGATAACCTGGGGGACTGCTATCATCCCTGGATAACCTGGGGGACTGTTATCATCCCTGGATAACCTGGGGGACTGTTATCATCCCGGGATAACCTGGGGGACTGTTATCATCCCAGGATAACCTGGGGGACTGTTATCATCCCAGGATAACCTGGGGGACTTATCATCCCTGGATAACCTGGGGGACTTATCATCCCAGGATAACCTTGGGGACTGTTATCATCCCTGGATAACCTGGTGGACTTATCATCCCGGGATAACCTGGGGGACTGTTATCATCCCAGGATAACCTGGGGACTGTTATCATCCCAGGATAACCTGGGGGACTTATCATCCCTGGATAACCTGGGGGACTTATCATCCCAGGATAACCTGGGGGACTGTTATCATCCCAGGATAACCTGGGGACTGTTATCATCCCAGGATAACCTGAGGGACTGTTATCATCCCAGGATAACCTGGGGGACTTATCATCCCAGGATAACCTGGGGGACTGTTATCATCCCAGGATAACCTGGGTGACTTATCATCCCAGGATAACCTGAGGGACTGTTATCATCCCAGGACAACCTGAGGGACTGTTATCATCCCAGGATAACCTGGGGGACTGTTATCATCCCAGGATAACCTGGGTGACTGTTATCATCCCAGGATAACCTGGGGGACTGTTATCATCCCAGGATAACCTGAGGGACTGTTATCATCCCAGGATAACCTGGGGTACTATTATCATCCCTGGATAACCAGGGGACTGTTATCATCCCTGGATAACCTGGGGGACTGTTATCATCCCAGGATAACCTGGGGGACTGTTATCATCCCAGGATAACCTGGAGGACTGTTATCATCCCAGGATAACCTGGGGGACTGTTATCATCCCTGGATAACCTGGGGGACTGTTATCATCCCAGGATAACCTGAGGGACTGTTATCATCCCAGGATAACCTGGGGGACTGTTATCATCCCAGGATAACCTGGGGGACTGTTATCATCCCAGGATAACCTGGGGGACTGTTATCCCAGGATAACCTGAGGGACTGTTATCATCCCAGGACAACCTGAGGGACTGTTATCATCCCAGGATAACCTGGGGGACTGTTATCATCCCAGTATATCCTGGGGGACTGTTATCTTCCCGGGATAACCTGGGGGACTGTTATCTTCCCGGGATAACCTGGGGGACTTATCATCCCAGGATAACCTGAGGGGCTGTTATCATCCCAGGATAACCTGGGGGACTGTTATCATCCCAGGATAACCTGGGGGACTTATCATTCCTGGATAACCTGGGGACAGTTATCCCAGGATAACCTGAGGGACTGTAATCATCCCTGGATAACCTGGGGGACTGTTATCATCCCTCGATAACCTGGGGACTGTTATCATCCCTGGATAACCTGGGGGACTGTTATCATCCCAGGATAACCTGGGGGGACTGTTATCATCCCAGGATAACCTGGGGGACTGTTATCATCCCAGGATAACCTGGGGGACTGTTATCATCCCAGGATAACCTGAGGGACTGTTATCATCCCAGGATAACCTGGGGGACTTATCATCCCTGGATAACCTGGGGGACTGTTATCATCCCAGGATAACCTGGGGGACTGTTATCATCCCTGGATAACCTGGGGGACTGTTATCATCCCAGGATAACCTGAGGGACTGTTATCATCCCTGGATAACCTGGGGGACTTTTGTCATCCCTGGATAACCTGGGGACTGTTATCATCCCTGGATAACCTGGGGGACTGTTATCATCCCAGGATAACCTGGGGGACTGGTATCATCCCTGGATAACCTGGGGGACTGTTGTCATCCCAGGATAACCTGGGGACTGTTATCATCCCTGGATAACCTGGGGACTGTTATCATCCCTGGATAACCTGGGGGACTGTTATCATCCCAGGATAACCTGAGGGACTGTTATCATCCGTGCATAACTTGACACTGTTATCATCCCAGGATAACCTGGAGGACTGTTATCATCCCTGGATAACCTGGGGGACTGTTATCATCCCTGGATAACCTGGGGACTGTTATCATCCCAGGATAACCTGGGGGATTGTTATCATCCCTGGATAACCTGGGGGACTGTTATCATCCCTGGATAACCTGGGGGACTGTTATCATCCCTGGATAACCTGTGGGATTGTTATCCCAGGATAACCTGGGGGATTGTTATCTTCCCTGGATAACCTGGGGGACTGTTATCTTTCCTGGATAACCTGGGGGATTGTTATCATCCCTGGATAACCTGGGGGACTGTTATCATCCCTGGATAACCTGGGGGACTGTTATCATCCCAGGATAACCTGTGGGATTGTTATCCCAGGATAACCTGGGGGATTGTTATCTTCCCTGGATAACCTGGGTGACTGTTATCATCCCTGGATAACGTGGGGGAATGTTATCATCCCAGGATAACCTGAGGGACTGTTATCATCCGTGGATAACTTGAGACTGTTATCATCCCAGGATAACCTGGAGGACTGTTATCATCCCTGGATAACCTGGGGGACTGTTATCATCCCTGGATAACCTGGGGGACTGTTATCATCCCAGGATAACCTGGGGGATTGTTATCATCCCTGGATAACCTGGGGGACTTATCATCCCTGGATAACCTGGGGGACTGTTATCATCCCTGGATAACCTGTGGGATTGTTATCCCAGGATAACCTGGGGGATTGTTATCTTCCCTGGATAACCTGGGGGACTGTTATCTTTCCTGGATAACCTGGGGGATTGTTATCATCCCTGGATAACCTGGGGGACTGTTATCATCCCTGGATAACCTGGGGGACTGTTATCATCCCTGGATAACCTGGGGGACTGTTATCATCCCTGGTTAACCTGGGGGATTGTTATCATCCCAGGATAACCTGGGGGACTGTTATCCTCCCAGGATAACCTGGGGGACTGTTATCATCCCGGGATAACCTGGGGGGACTTATCATCCCAGGATAACCTGGGGGACTGTTGTCATTCCAGGATAACCTGGGGGACTTATCATCCCAGGATAACCTGAGGGACTGTTATCATCCCAGGATAACCTGGGGGACTGTTATCATCCCTGGATAACCTGGGGGACTGTTATCATCCCAGGATAACCTGGGGGACTTATCATCCCTGGATAACCTGGGGACTGTTATCCCAGGATAACCTGAGGGACTGTAATCATCCCTGGATAACCTGGGGGACTGTTATCATCCCTGGATAACCTGGGGACTGTTATCATCCCTGGATAACCTGTGGGATTGTTATCCCAGGATAACCTGGGGGATTGTTATCTTCCCTGGATAACCTGGGGGACTGTTATCTTTCCTGGATAACCTGGGGGATTGTTATCATCCCTGGATAACCTGGGGGACTGTTATCATCCCTGGATAACCTGGGGGACTGTTATCATCCCTGGATAACCTGGGGGACTGTTATCATCCCTGGTTAACCTGGGGGATTGTTATCATCCCAGGATAACCTGGGGGACTGTTATCCTCCCAGGATAACCTGGGGGACTGTTATCCCGGGATAACCTGGGGGGACTTATCATCCCAGGATAACCTGGGGGACTGTTGTCATTCCAGGATAACCTGGGGGACTTATCATCCCAGGATAACCTGAGGGACTGTTATCATCCCAGGATAACCTGGGGGACTGTTATCATCCCAGGATAACCTGGGGGACTTATCATCCCTGGATAACCTGGGGACTGTTATCCCAGGATAACCTGGGGGACTGTTATCATCCCTGGATAACCTGGGGACTGTTATCATCCCTGGATAACCTGGGGGACTGTTATCATCCCAGGATAACCTGGGGGACTGTTATCATCCCAGGATAACCTGGGGGACTGTTATCATCCCAGGATAACCTGGGGGACTTATCATCCCAGGATAACCTGAGGGACTGTTATCATCCCAGGATAACCTGGGGGACTGTTATCATCCCAGGATAACCTGGGGGACTGTTATCATCCCAGGATAACCTGGGGGACTGTTATCATCCCAGGATAACCTGGGGGACTGTTATCATCCCAGGATAACCTGAGGGACTGTTATCATCCCAGGATAACCTGGGGGACTGTTATCATCCCAGGATAACCTGGGGGACTGTTATCATCCCAGGATAACCTGGGGGACTGTTATCATCCCTGGATAACCTGGGGGACTGTTATCATCCCAGGATAACCTGAGGTACTGTTATCATCCCTGGATAACCTGGGGGACTGTTGTCATCCCTGGATAACCTGGGGACTGTTATCATCCCTGGATAACCTGGGGGACTGTTATCATCCCAGGATAACCTGG